TGAGCCACAGGCGCCGAGGCAATTTTTTTTTCCTTTGAAGTAGGATTTTACTAATGTTCCCTGACTGGTTTGTATAGTTTGTTAGGATGACTACCAACTGCTGCTCTTTATCCTGGATTTCTGCCTCCCACCTTGACCACACCTCAGCCACTCCCAGTAAGTGTGATATGTGGCTACCTCTCTGCTTGGCTATGAAAGGTAGAGGGATTAGGGTCTGTAACCTATTAGTAGTCCAGCAGGAGGGGCTTTGACTCTGCCTCAGGTAACCAAGTTCAGTCTTTAGTTTAAAATGTGAAGGATTGGGCAGCCCCATATACCAAGGGTGGCGGGTTCAAACCTGACCCCTACCTAACTGCAAGAAAAAGTGGCCAGGCATTGTGGCAGGCACCTGTAGTCCGAGCTTCTCGGGAGACTGAGGCAAGAGAATCGCTTAAGCCCCAAGAGCTAGAGCCACGTCACTCTACTGAGGGCAACAAAGTAAAACTCTGTCTCTTAAAAAAAAAAAAGAAGTGTGGCTCAGTGCCTGTGGCTCAAGCAGCTAAGGCTCTAGCCACATACACCTAAGGTGGCAGATTCAAATCTAGCCCAAGCCCGCCAAACAACAATGACAACTGCAACCAAAAAATAGCCAGGCATTGTGGCGGGCGCCTGTGGGCCCAGCTACTTGGGGGGCTGGGGCAGGGGACCAGCTTGAGCCCTGGAGTTGGAGGTTACTGTGAACTGTGATGCCACAGCACTCTACCCAGGGTGACAGCTTGGGGCTCTGTCTCAAAAAAAAAAAAAGGATTAGGCTGGGTGGACACAATAGCTCGTGCCTGTAATCCCAGCATTCTAGGAGACTAAGGTGGGTAAATCACCTGAGCTTGTGAGTTTGGGACCAATCTAAGCTAGAGTGAGACCCCCGTCTCTAAAAATAGCCGGCATTGTGGTGAGCGCCTATCGTCCCAGCTACTCGGGAGGCTGAAGCAAGAGGATATTGCTTGAGCCTAAGAGTCTGAGGTTGCTGTGAGCTATGACATCATGACACTTAGTACTGAGGGCAACAAAATGAGACTCTGTCTCAAAAAAAAAAAAAGAATGTGGAGGATACCTAACCCTTTGGGAAAGAATGTTAATTCTACATTTATAAAAAGAGCCTGGCTCAGCGCCTGTGGCTCAAGTGGCTAAGGCGCCAGGCACATACACCTAAGGTGGCGAGTTCGAATCCAGCCCGGACCCGCCAAAAACAAC